TTTCTACTGTACTACCATCCTTTGTTAAAAATTTCACTTTTACTTGACAATGTTTAAAAATATTTAAGTTCATTTAATTATGGTTAGCGTTTATAATTAGACTAGGTTTTAGGAGGTATATAGTAAAATCACTCGAGGAATTTTTTTGTTAGAGCACAAAGGGTGGTTTCTTATGCAAGTTTTTGAGAAGTAAGTTATTTTTGAAAAATGAACATTTTGTTAGAAATCTGTGCCAGGTTTTGTTGATCATTAGTTAGGTAAATTCGAACAATAGCCAATTTTCATTTAAGTGCCTACTCAAGTGTTTCTGTGCAAATACGTGCTTTTGATTTAGTATATGCATCATATGATTACTTGTTTCTATATTTATTATAGATGCGTTTATAGATACGTTTATAGTTACGGATCAATATGTAGAAATTTTATAATCTGGTTTTTATATAGGACGTAAGTCTGCATTTATGTATACAGTATCAATATGTATAATTAGAAATTGCGTATGGGACTTCGCCTATATGTGGATTATAGTTGTTATCCGAAACCCGAAACTATATATAAAATCCCGAAACCGAAACCGAAACCCGAAACCCTTTCCGAAACTCTAACACTACTGAAAGGCTTAGAAATTTAATTTTAAACGTTAAGACTTAAAGTATATTATAATTAAATTGCATTTCAGGAAAATTTTGATTACTTTATAGTAAATGTGTATTAATTATTAACATACCAATTTTAAAGTTTCGGAAAGGTTTCGGGTTTCGGGTAACAAGTATAATGTGGATCGATTTTTCTTTAATTTGCTGTGGATCGATTTTTCCTAATTTGTTTATTAAATTTACATGTTTCAAGCATGTTATCAGTACACATGTATATCTAACTTGAATATTTCTTAACCTTTTTCTAATTTAATTTTGTTCATAATGAGCGCTTACTATTTTTGTTAGGTCCACTATTTGTTGACAATAATTTAATTGATAACGGTACGTTTTACTTGTACAGTTTATTTTATAAAGATTGTGATTTATTATTGCATTGATAGAAAAAGTCAAATATCGAAATGTTTAATATTGTATATAAGGTAGATATAAAAAGTGTATAATGAAATGTATAAAGGCTAGGGTGTAGAGATGGGCAAATCGCGGTTTCTCCAAAAAATTCCGTGCATCACGAGCAGATCCCACGCAGGATTCATTAAACTACAAAAATGCGCAGTTGATCCTTGATTTGATTGGCCAATGGCTGTGATCAACAAAGTTCTGGCCGCATTATACATAATTTTGGTCGGAATTCAATTGTTTTAATTTTTAATTGAGAAATGAAAAACTTATGGTTTGGGCCTGTGCAATTATAAAATCAGCCCAGGAACATAATTTCACTTAGGATAGAAAATTATATTTTACAAACTTATAATACATAATTTTAAAAACATGTAAATTTCACACATGTGATATATAGTGCCAGCATTATGAAAAATTTAGCAGTTGTTATTGAACTTCAATAGATTTTGTATGAAGTTTACTAATTAAATCGATGTCATATTATCACATTACATGTAATTTTGATTTCAGAAACCTACACAAACTTATATAAAATTACTGTAACTTTCCAACCCTAGTAAAAATTTGAGTAATTTTGGCTAAATTTTTATTCGTTGCTGTTAGCCAATCAAAATAGTGGATTTCCACATAATTTTTGCAAGGTTTAATCGCAGAAATTATATTGACCACTTTCTTGGTTAAAGCTTTTACCTGGTCTAATTTTTGTAAGATGTTACTAAAATATTATTATTACTATACATGTTATATTTATTTTAAAAAGTGTGACTTAAAGAAAACTTTTTGGTACGTAAGTGAAAGATACCAACAGAAAAGAAGGCATATATATACACATCAGTCACACAATTTTTCACGCAGATCACGGAGGTAAAATTTTTTCTATGAAATTTGGGTGATTAATATTCATATAATGGGCTAGTTTTATATAGTAAATTGCAACAGTAGCTTACTTTAATTTAATAACTTCAAGTGTTTCATAAAAAAAAGCTGAATTCTCAAGACATAATGTAACAATTCAAAAAGTTAAATTTTATGATATGTATGTGTTTAAAGCATAATAAAAAATAAAATCTTGAATAATCTTATTTTCAAAAATTGCTTGTTGTCTTATATTCTATAATGTTAGCAATATAATAAAAGCTTGCATTTTACTAGGTTTTAAGTTGTTTTTAGTTTTTCTAATTAGAATAACTTTTTTTTTTATTTTTTATTTATTTATTTATATAATATCATAGTAGATACAATAAGAAATTTAATTACAAAAAAATCCTAAAATAAAGATTTCTAAACTACATTTGTGTTACTAAAATAGACACTTAATGTGACATTAATATGTACCTGCATGGGTTTCGTCATAGATTTCGTCAATTCGTCATTTAGAAATTAGCTTGACAAAGGTTTGTTTTTTCATCAATGATGAGGGTTTTGTCATTCGTCAGGCATCATTACATTATTGGTTAGAAATTTAGCGCAAGGGTCCACATCTTACTTGTATATACTATTTTCTAATATTCATAATTCCTAAGATCCTGAAAAGAAGTTTTGTGTTTATCTTTGGCATGATGAATAGATAATAACATGATAGTTTGATTAATTAATAATTTTCATAAAAGACAATAAAAGCAGCAGGTAAAGTAATGAATCCTTAATGTTACAGATAGAGGTTTATAAAAATAATATTTAGCTTACACCTCAGAAAATTAACAGCTACCAGCATTAGTTTTTGTTTTTTTGCTAAAATATTTTAATTTGTCAGTTTGTAATTGTGTTTTCCTCATGAGTACATTATAATGAAAAGGAAATTGTTCATCAAAATTTTTTTAATAGTATTTAGTACATATGTATGTAACATTCTAGTATGTTTTGAATTCAAGTTAAACATGTCATTCTGACTATATTAATATTTGGATATACCTGAACTATAGATAGAAATGAAATTACTTTTAATAAAAAGGTTTGTTGAAATTATTTGGTGACAAAATTGGAGAAATTAGGTTTCAAATCAAATAAAATAGTTGTTTTAGGTTTAATTTATAAAAATATTAAAATTGATAAAATTATTGTTAAAATCATCAGTTGAAATTAAAAAAATTGAAAATGAGTTTTACCCAACTATAATGCCTAAATCTAGTTATAATAACCTTTTTTAAAGTTTTTGATCTATATAATGTTATAGGTAGATTTGACCCTAGGACTTTGAGGAAATGTTGTGTAATGACTCACAATCTGCATTATGAAAAACTGTCATACTACAATACCCATGACCCAAGATAAATCAAGCTCTCCATTAAGTGACAATGCTGATCCATTGAAGAAAAAGTCACCCACCCGATTTGGAATTCAACTATCAAGGTAATATTATCTTGACAGGTAAAGTCTGTAACTATGTCAATGCATTGTCATATGTTGGGTTGTATGACATTGTGGAATGATGGGAAAAATTATAACATAATGACAAATGAATTGTAGAAAAAAAGAAAAGAGTGTTAGTAAAAAAGGAAAAAATGATCTATAACAATGAAAAAAAGAATGTCAAAACTATGTTCCAAGTTCTCTTTTTTCTTTCCAAAAAATGTTCTATAAAATGCTTAGAGTTCTGCCCTCAAGTAAAGTATCTCCACCTTCTTGTAACCTGAATTACGTTTCAACTTATAACCTGTCTATAAATAAATAAATAAAATTTATAATTAATAAAATGCTAATTGTTAAAATAAAGTAACCAAATAAATAAAAACTCCATGCTCCTTTAAACTTCCTTGGTAACATTTTTAAGCCTGATTTAAATCAGAGCCAAATCGAATTCACCTTACTTGCCTTGAGTGATGTAAATGAATTCAAAACAACAATTTTATTACATTTCTTTCTATCCTTTCTAGTGCCATTTCAATACTGTAACTCATATCAATTTGGTGATAACTGTAAAATTGATGACCCTGGATCTTTCTAATTACTGAAATAGAAATAAAACCATGAAAGCATTAACTATCTCCTTTCTCCTCCCTCTTCTCGATATAAAAAAACTTAACTACATTGTTTTTTTTGTGTTGTATTATTGAATTTTTTTTTAGTATTGAATTAACAGACTGTGTTTACCTGTTATAGTTGTGTACTAAAATGTAAACCAAGTTTTTTTTTTGGAAATCTAGAACTGATGTACTGAGTCCACTTAGTTTTGCTAAAAAACATATAATTTTACTACCCTGACTTTGTGCTGTTCTATACTGGATTGATTTATTAAGAACCTAATAAAAAAAGAAAGTAATTAGTATAATGCCAAGACAGGATCATAACCTAAAAAAAAAGAGTTGATATGTATCCGATCAAACCTTGAAATGAGAATTTATAAATAGCAAGACTTTATTATTATTTGTTTTTATATACAAAAAAAAAGAATAATAATACTATTCAAAAAAAAGAATATATTTTAAAAAAAAAAAGGAATTTATAAAAAAAAAAAAAATCAAAAAAAAACATAATATAGTAATCAGAAGTATATAGTATAGTATAAAAAAAAAAACTTTTATTAACTACAAATAAGGTTCACATGTGTAATTATTATGACATTTTAGAAAAAGCTTAAACCTGATCTACAAATTAATTCTAAAAATTAGCATAAATAGATCTTAAAATAGATTCAATTTAATCTTTTCTAATTAGCAAACAATTGAATCATAAAATAAACTCAAGAATGCCAAAAACAAATAATAGAAGACTATAATGCCATATTTGTATAACTTTAACCCTAAGCAAGTATAAAAAAAAAACTATAATATGGACTAGCAAAATTTTGAAAATAACCTTTGTTTCAATCAAGATGATAATAGACAGTCAATCTATAGTAATAGTAGTAGGATCCTTGTCAATTAGTACCCATTGTATATAGCAAGAAACAATGATTATAATAATGAAAACTCTACTCAACAGTCTAATTAAGACCCCCTCCATATGGTTTTAAGAGAAATAGCAAAAGCCTTCAAAGATGCTATCGCTGGAGTTGCTCTTGTTACAAAAACTCCTGAAAGAGAAACTAACTTAGTATAAGTTATACTGTTTTATGAAACTAAGAAAGAAGACCCTCTTGAGTAGGTTGAAATGTTTGATCATACCACTGATGAAAATAACTAAATCTCTGAAAGAAAAATTAAAATAGCCTCTGAGTATTTGCGAAATGTTGTTGCAAATGATATAATAGAATAAGAGCTGCCCTAGAATTTTGAGATAATGAAAAGAATTCAGAAGCAAGTTTTGTGCCCTATTTTACTTAATATTTTGCCACCTCAGAATGATGACATAAGTGACAAGTTGAGCTTAATACTCTTACTTAACAAAAAAATAAAAGAATCAACTCATATGCCTACAAGTTCAAAAACTTTTAAGACAAGTGGATTCTGAACATTGGTTACCTCAAATGTATATAATGTAAATGTTTTTAGAAAGTTTAAGGTCCAAGATAGCCTTCTGGCTTAGTGTCACAAAACTCCCAACATTGGAAGATACTATAATTAGTGCTTGTAAAATTGAAGCTAGAGAGTATTACAGTAGAAAAAATGAAGAGAAGACTCAAGATAATAAAAAACTGAAAAACAATCTTAATAGTTTAACTAACCAAATGCAAGTTATGTCTAAGAAGTTGACATCTGCTCTCACCCTGCATACTGAAGTTGCACCACCTAGATCCTGTCCTCCAAACAATAATAATAATTATAATAATAATAATAATCACAATAGTTACAATCCAACTAGGTTATTTGCTATAAATTTAGGAAGCCTGGTTATATTTCTCGTTATTGTATGTCTGAAAGGACCCCAAATCCAACCCAAAACAGCCAGAATAGGTGGGCTCAAACCAATTAATCCAACCCAAACAACTGAAACAATCAACAACCTGTATCTTGCCTAAACCTAACAATGTTAATTTTTGCAGAATTGAACTGAATGAAGATTATGAACTTGAAGTTAAGGAAGAGGAAGCTTTTGTAACACTGTGGCCTACTACAAACTATACCCTACTTGAAGACTGGTAAGTCACTGCTCCAAAAGGTTAAATAATAAAATAGAAGGTCAATTCTGCCTAGGCCAGAAGCCCCAGTTGAATCATCTGTAAATGTGGACCTATTAGTAGCACAACTTGCAATTGTGAACCCACCACTACCAGTACCAAAAGCCCCTCCTACAAGACCTCGAAGAAAAAGAGGCACATCTGTAATTAATTAATTAGCCCTATATGATGTGGCAGTAGATATTATGTATGCAAGAACTAGTATAATGTTGAGACAAATGTTACAATACTCTGATCAAAGACAGAGGCTCGCAAAAGGCCTATAAAGACTGTTGCCCCTCTAGAGCTACCATTATCTTCTTTTAAGCCTATGAATGCTGTATAAGACTAATAGAATAGGAGAACTACAGCTACTTACTGTTATGTGAAAATAAAGAACAATCTAGTAATTGCTTACTAGATTCTGATGCTGTCATAAGCATTATATTCAATAAAATGATAAAAAAATTATAGTTAAAAATTACAGAACTATCCACTACCACAGTAGTAACCACAAATGATGCCTATGTTAGGGCTTTAGGAAAAATTGTGAATATGAAGCTGGTTTTAGAAAGAAATATAGTTCTCATCACTCTCTAGATAATTGAATCAAAGGATGAAATCTTTTTATTAGAAATAAACTGGTTTAAACAAACATATGCCTGTTTGCATGTTGATAAAAGTAAGCTATATGTGCATTAACAAGATTAAGTTGCTGAGATACCAATGTCATATGATAGTGAGTGCCCTTCTGTGAAAGCTACTAAAAATGAAAAAAATGGAATATTCAATGAGTTCAAGTATGAAGACAAAATGTTGAATAAAGCTGAAGGATATTACACCAGTGAAGTATCAGATAATGAACTTTTTGATAACCCATGAAAGAACCACCATAGTTCTGCAATATATTTGTCACACATGAAAGAAATACCATTTAATGAACCTAACCTGAAGATGAGTTCTTAGAACTGAGATTGGAAAAAAGCATATGTACAACTTATCTAAGTCCAGAAGGCTTAAACTTCTTAAATAATAAAAAAAATATGTTTTCAAGATATGAATGATCTGGGTCAAACAACTCTAATAGTACACAAAATTGATACCAGTAGTACAATGCCAATTAAACAATACTCCTATTATGTTGCTCCCAGTGTATGTAGTTTCATAAAGGAGGAGATTGAAAAACTTAAAAAAAAGGGTTAGACAGAGAATGCACAAGCCTGAGGGTGTTCCCTGTAGTCATTGTACCAAAAAAAAAAATATTGCACTTATGCATTAACTATCGGAAGCTTAATATGATTATGAAAAAAAATGTGTTCTTTTTGCTTTATGTTGACAACCTATTAGAAGTTTTTGGGTCTGCAATTTGGTTTTCAATGCTAGACCTAATGTTCAGATATTGGCAAGTTCCTGTAAGTGAAAAAGATAGAGAAAAAACTGTGTTTGTGACAAATTTTGGTACCTATGAGTTTGTGATAATGCTGTTTGGGCTTACGAACACCCCTGCCACATTTCAGCAAATGATGAATCAAGTGCTAGTAGAGTTTTTGGACCAATTTGTTATTGTATACTTTGATAACATCATCATTTATTCAATGTTATTTGAGGAGCATACTAACTACCTTAATATTGTTTTTAATAAGCTTCAGAGTATAAGTTTAAAATTAAACCTGGATAAGTGCTTCTTTTTTAAACTCTATTTGTAATTTTTGGGTCACATTGTCAGTCAAAAGAGCATTCATCCTGATGAAAGAAAAGTTAAAAAAGTCCAGAATTTCCCTGTATCACAGTCCCTTCATGAGTTGCAAGGTTTCCTGGGATTGGCACCATACTTTCAAAAATTCATACCTAAGTTCGCTATAATTGCTTGTTCCCTTCACTTCTTGTTGTGCAAGAATGTTAAGTATGAATATAAAAAGGACCAGAATAATGCATTTAACCAACTGAAGCTATACTTAATTAATGCTCCAATCTTGTGCCATTACAATTTTGAAAAGATGTTTATAATCCATGCTGATGCTTCTGGTTTCAGGTTGGGTGCTGTGCTAGCACAAAAAGATGATAAAGAAAATGAATATGTTGTTGCATATGCCAGTTGAGGAATAACCAAAGCCAAAAGAAACTACACTATTACTGAACATGAGTACCTTGTCATTCTTTGAGCAATCAAACATTTTCAGCATTATATTGAGTTGGACCTTTTCATAGTAGTAACTGATTATGCTGCTCTGAAGTAGCTTCAGACTGCTGAATTAACTGGTTGTTATGCCTATTGGGTGTTGCATTTGCAACCATATAATTTTCGAATTATCCACCATTGCGATCATGTTCACCACAATGCTGACACTTTGTCAAGGTTACCCATAATGCCAAATGAACCTCTAAACTAAAAAAAAAAAAAGCAAGAGAAAATTAGTAAAAATAATAAATAAATAAAATAAAAAAAAAAAAAAAAAAACAAAAGTGAAAGAAAAGAAGCAAATCAGATAAAATCCAGATTTACTAGCAATTCAGACCAGGTTCTGGTATCCTGGCATCTAACAACAAAAAAAAATAATAATAAAAAAAATATATATATATATATAATATATATATCTATAATAACAGACACATAAAATTTTAAAAAAAATATATATAAATTAAACTTCTTCTTAGGCAGTGATGGATGTCATCCACTACCAATACTTGAAAAAGTACCTAGAAGATGGATACTTACCAACCACTTTTGATCAAGCCCAATGATGAAGACTCTGAAAAAAGAGTGAATTTTTCAAATTGAAAGAAGAACTTTTGTACAAAAAAGATCAAAGAAAAAAAGGAAACCTATTAAGAGTGCTGCAGAAGCATGAGATTAATTCAATTTTGTTCTTGATGCATACTTACCTCTTGGAAGAACATCTCAAAAGGACAGTATGGTCATGAAGGTCCATGATACTTATTTTTGGTTCTAGATGTATCTTGATATTAGAAGTATGTTCAAATATGTGACCTATGTCAAAGATGAACAAAACTATATAATCAAGGCCCCCTCCATCCCATACCTGTTGCTGTACTATTCTACAAGATAGGTATTGATTTTGTGAGCATCCTGCCATAAACACCACGATTGAATCACTACATCATCATAGCTACAAATTTTATGACTCATTGGCCTGAAGCCTGCTCTGTACAAAAAGCTAATATCTAAACAGTAGCTAATTTCTTGTATAATAACAGTGTGTCACTATAAATGCCCTATATGAATTCTATCTGACTGTGGCACCCACTTCTAAAATGAAATGACAAGGTTCCTCTTGGAGACAATCTATATGAAACAACACTTCTCTACCCTGTACCATCCTAGTACCAACAGTCTTGTTGAACAGTTTAATAAGATCCTATATAAAACTCTAAAAAAGTTAGTCGATAATGTTCTTGACTGGAACCTACTTATTTCACCAATACTCTTTGCCTATTGCATAGCTCAGAATTCTACAATGAAAATGATGCCATTCTTCCTTGTTTACGGCTGTAAAGCCAAGCAACTGATCCATCTTAGCCAAGCTAAAGATCTATTAAAAGAAGCTATATTGCATAGAACCTTTAAATTGATAAATTAAGTTCCTCTTCTTAGAAATAAGACTATTGAAAGAACCCACCAAAACCAAGCCAAGCAGATGACTTATCATAATAATCAGTGTCAAATCAGCTCTGGATTAGAAATTGGAGACAAAGTCTTGTTGAAAGATGTTGCCAAAAAGTATTCCTGTAGTGAAAAACTGATCCTAAAATGTAAAAGCTTGTATTATATTTATAATAAGCTGCTAAATAATGCCTATAAAGTAAGTACCTTAGATGGGAAAGAAATTGTTACCTCTTTTAATATATGCATAATAAAGAAATATCATGAATAAGAGGAATAACTATTTAGTAATTTAAAAAAAAAAAAAAAAATTTCTTTTTTTATATTGTTGGGTTCAGAAGATTGTGACTCAGTTGCTTCAAAATTCTAAACCTTGTGTAATGTACAACAAGTACCTTTTCGAAAGAGGGTGTTAGATTTGGCTTGTGGATAAGAAAGTCTTTTGGTTACTTTGAGTCAACAAATGCAAGTAGGGTCAGTCATGTGGTCACAAGTTTGAACAGTATAATTTACAGGAGTTTACAGAGTTTTGTAATGGTAATAGTGTTAGTGTTTATTAAATACTATGTAGGGTATTGGGAGTTATTATTTAATAAAGCAAACTTAGCATACTAAGCATACTGCTCTCAAGAGCCTTTTCGGCCTTTATTTATAACTCTAAATTCGGCACTCACAAATGCAACTTTACACTTATTATTTCTTAAAACTAATTAAAACTATTTATAGTGATTTATTTAATATCTGTAAAGATATGTAATTTATTCTCATATCCTCCCTTTATTCCTTATCTACTCTTCTGAATCCGAAATACCTTTTCCAATCCTAAATTTAACTTATTGCACTTATTGCATTTTGTGCATTTTTCATATGATTGGTCATGGTATTCAGTATCACAATTCCCAATTTTACAATAGCAACAAATATCATAGGAGCTCCTACATCAGTGAGTCTATTGCTAATTGAAGGTCAGCCTTGTGTAACAATCAGATGAGTACTTTATCATCTGTAAGTAAGTACTATTCTCTTCTTCTCTTGAGTCTTTCCTTCAGCCTACTTGTCTTTACTAATTTCTTTTTTTCTGTGTCTTCTCTTGTATGCCTCAACCTGAAATTACACTACATCAATTCAGGGTTGAAACTCTTCTATTACAGCAATGACTTTTATGATCATGTGACTTGTAACACATGATCCACAGCAGGTTTAGCTTATTCTTGAGGCAGATAGGTGCTGTTTAACGATAGTTACTAGGGTTCTACAAGACAATACTTATACTTTTACTAGTATCAAATAAATAGTCTATGCTTTGTCATTGTAATTACTTTATTATTCATTTATTATTTCTATCTAAATTCTATCTAAAAATCTGTCATCACAATATATATAAATGCTTATCCTTTTTTTTATTTCTTTAATTTCTTTTTATTTTTTTTTTTCTCTTTGTAATAATCACCCACAACAGTTATACATAAAGTAATAATTGGAACATATAACAAGGACATGGTTGCTCTTCATTTAACATAGATGTGCTAAATTTATGAATTAATTTTTTTTTGTCTTAAATTTTAGAGTCAACAATTCTTGATTGTAAACAACAGCCATATGTATGAGTTGAAACATATGACAAGAGTTCAGTTGACTCTTCATTTTGAACATGGATATAATTTTTATTGTTAGTTTTTGCTTGATTGTAGTTATATAACTTGTAATTGTTTTCAGTATAGTATTAAAATAGTATTAGAATAGAAAAAAAAATTGAAAAAAAACTTTTAGAATTCCAAATTGGATCTTGAAGAAGACCTACAAAGTATCATTCTAAAAGGATGTTCTCTGAACCTGAACCCATGTTGACTTCTTTTTTACAGGACATGAAAAATTGGTCTAGAAGAATTGTTATAAATAGATTCAACCCTAGGACCTTGAGGAAACATTGCATTACAACCCACAATCTGCACTATGAAAAACCATTGTATCACAATACCCATGACCCAAGACAACTCAAGTTCTCCATTAAGTGATGATGCCAATCCATTGAAGAAAAAACCACCTACCTGATTTGGAATCCAACTGTCAAGGTAATATTATCTTGACAGGTAAAGTCTGTAACTATGTCAATACATCATCATGTGTTAGGTTGTGTGTTGTTGTGAGATGATGGGAAAAATTATAATGTAATGACAGATGAATTGTAGAAAAAAGAGAAGAGTGTTAGTAAAAAAGTGAAAAACGTCTATGACAATGAGAAAAAAAATATCAAAACTGTGTCTCAAGTTCCTTCTTTTCCTTCCAAAAAATGTTCTATAAAATGGTTAGAGTTCCACCCTCAAGTAGAGTATCTCCCACCCTCTTGTAACCTGAATCACCTTTCAACTTGTAACCCACCTATAAATAAATAAATAAAATTTATAATTAATAAAGTGCTAATTGTTAAAATAAAGTAAACAAATAAATAAAAACCCTACGCTTCTTTAAACTCCCCTGGTAACGTTCTCAAGGCCGACTTAGACCAGAGCCAAATCGAATCCGCCTCACCTGCCTTGAGCGACGTTACGCGACGTCGACGAATTCGAAGTGATAATTTCGTCGCATTCCTTCCTGTCCCTTCTAGTGCCGTTCCGACCCTGTACCCCGTATCAATAGTTAATATGAAAACGTGTCTGGTTAAACCAACATCTGGATATATCGGATCATTTCTTTACTTTTTTGAGGTGTCGATATAACAAGGTCAGGAAAACCGTAAACTTCGTAAAAAATATCATTTACTTTTTGATTGACAAGATAATCATTATGATTCTATGATAGTTACTTTGCCATATAGCTTATCACTATACTATGTCACTTTAAAACCATTATTTTGTCTTTGCATAATAAAACATTAAATTAAAGAATACTAAAATCATTATTATATATTATGCTATTTGTTAATAAATGAAAATCTCCACGACCACAACACTTTATGTTAAAAAAATAATTAGGTAATTTGTGACGATTTATTTTAACACAATGTTTAACAAAAAAAAAAGCTCAATATTATGAAACATAAAACTTGTCAGTTTAATGATCGCTGTAATTTATTTACAATGAAAAAAATGATGATACAAGATTGATCTCATTTTATATAGGCTGTTCTCAAGCTTTTACTCTTCCAGAGTTGAGCAGGGAGACTACAAGTTGTTAGAAAAAATGACTGATTTAATATAAATTATGGGATGTAGTTTTGGGATCTTTTTTTATTTTTTTTTACGTCCAGATTATTTATCGCTCAGATGAATAGAAAATCATTAAATTAAACGACTCATTATGAAAAATAAAATGTCCTTTTTAGCCAATTCCTCGAAATATGTGATTACCCATAATTTTAATATACTGTATTTATTTATTTATAAGAATTACAGGATTATGATAAATGGATCTAAGACATTGCGATATATCTGTCTTGTAACTAATTTCAAGAAGCAAATATCTTATTTGAATTATATATTAAGGTCGATGAACTTAAAATACAGCTAAATTTATGGTAGGAAAGTAAACAGATCAATATATACAATTGTAACACTAATCTTTTCAAAAATACGAGAAATTAAGACAATAAGCAGATTACTTATTAACAATAACGATCAAGTTATATGTCAAATAGCATCAAACTTTTAAGTTTTTTTGCTAATCTGAAATATTTCATATTCATCCACCGAAAAATTAAAAACACCAGGTTTATCTCTAATTCGTTTTTCATATGATGTTCGGTAACTCTCACATGTTTTATCTTGATTAAAATTACCCGACATGGCTAAATCCCATCCATCACCAAAAACTGGACCATAATCAGATTTACTAAAAATTGCTTTTTCTGGATATTTTATGCGACTTAATATAGGATTTTGAATGTTACCATTTTTCAATGAAAAAATAAAGCTATCTTTGCAATACTTATAAGAATAACTATCTGATTTATCCCATCCAACAGAATTATATCCACCAAAAATTTCATCAGTACCTTTAACCTTCATGACTACGACAAGGTGTGTTTTCTTTTCACATAAATTCCAAAATGAATTAGCAGTAAAACCGTCTCTAGTTCCACGAAGAAGTAAATTAAATTCGTATGGATTATTGGCTGCAGAATATGTATTGGCTTTTTTATCAACCCATGAAGCAATTTCTGCTGCATGATCTTTATTGATAACTGTTGAAAATGGTTCAGTAGTTCTATTTGGCAATGTTGATGTTAAAATTACACGAGGTGGGAGGATTATTGAAGATAGATGTCGATCTGGAGTCATAAATTTTTTCATTAAATCTTTCCAAAGATTTTTTTCAAGAATTTGATGATATGGTTCTACACTATCAATAATGTTATCACCAGACATCTGAAAATAACGAATAAGAGGTAAACAATTTTGTAAAGTAGTCTTTAAAGTAAGAAAATTTTCTTGAAACCAGTCTTCAGGATCTGATGGTAAACCAGGATTTTGTGCAATTCCCCATTCGATAACGCGATTCCAAATTTTTATTTCATCCATTTGTAAATCATCTCGACTGATAAGTGAAACTAATGCATTTTCTTGAAGTGAAACGAAATCTTCTGAATCAAAAATTTTGTTGGGATATTTCACCACAAAATCATTACACCATTTTTGTAGTTGTTGAAGCTTATTATATTGGAAACTTTTTTGATAAACATTTGTAAATTGTAAGCGAAGCCAATGGGCTTCTGCTTCAATCAAATGAGTTTCAAGATTTTTAGCTAATTCATCCAAAAGAAATTCATAAGCAATAAGCATAAGCTCAAAAATAAACGACGCATTATGATTTTCAAGTAAGACTATTCCTCCGTATATATATCTTTATATAAAATTAAATTATATTTGAGTTCTTATGAAATTTCATAAATTTTATTTGCGTATAAATAACTTACCTGATAATAATTTCAAATTGTTGTATAGAAATATTTTTTAAATTAAGAGTTTTAATATTATTTTTATCTTTGCTGATGTTTGCAAATTCATTGCGAAAATATAAAGATCTATATCTTAGTATTGCTGAATGTGCTTGGAATGGTTTAGCGTTTGGAGATTCGCCAACATTAATAATTATATTGAAATCTTCTTTGTCATCAAGAAGTTCAAGATAATTATTTGAAAGTTTATCAAAGAATTTTATTGCCATTTTAACAAGTGCAATACGTAGCTTTAATGTGGCTATTTTACTGATATCGATATGTATACGTAATACGTATGATATGCGCCAACATATGAACTTTTTTGTCGTGTAACCTAACACATGATTTTAGAACCGGTTTTATTTATATAATTTAAACCCAGTTCCAACTCTGGAATGGTTTGTTATAAGTTAAAATAGGTTCAACCGCTGTTAACATATAACAAATAAAATCGGTTTCAACTTCCGACCTCCAAGATTATGAAAAAATTTCTAATACACTTGATTCAACCTTTTATAACAAATCTACTCTATAATGAACTTTTTTATTAGAGTTCGATATAGAAAGATAGTAAGTTACTCTATATATAAGGACCTTTTTTATTACGTATAAGAACTATTAGTTCGTTATAAAACAAGTTGACTGTACATGATTAAATATTATATAAATGAATATATGACAAAAAATTTATTTAAAATTTGGTTTATGTTAAAACATCTATTATTTACTCACATTTACAAAAATTTATATGTTTCTCAAGAAAGATATTGAAGAAGTTTTATAAATGGTGCGACTAAAAAAGAAAAAAGGCAATTTTTACATTCATTCCAAAGAATATATATTATACGTCAAAATTTACAATATTTTATATGATTTAATAATCATTCTAACAAATAAACCCATTTAACAACAAACACCGTTAACACCATTCTGGTAATTATAACTCTATATTCCATCTATGACAGTTCCATTGCAAGGATTAATTCCATTACTAGAAGACAAGAAACGACCCATATCTACATCACTCGATGATCTTGATGATCTCGGTGAAGTTGAATTATGCAGAAAATTATCATGAACAGGCTCGTAAAGATCATTATCTAGAGCTTGGATATCCAATTGTGTGCGAGCTTTTTTATCTTGTTCTAAGTGTCTCTTGTGCTCACGATAAATATTGACGAGCGTACAATATTCATCATCATCATTTTCTTCTTCCTGTAATTGTCTACTGTAAGCTAGTAATCTACTATGTCTTAGTCTATCTTGGTCCAAATTATTGTTTATATTAGAGACGACCGAAGAAGTATAAGTATTAGCTTTGTCGATCGGGATTATAAAATTAATTATGCTAGTGTTTGAGTTCATTTTTTTGTATGTAAATGATGGTAGAACTATGGATTTATCTTTTTATAAAATTCGCAAAAAAAAAAAAAAATTTAAATAAATAAATAAAAATCAAGAGTTTATATGTATTTAAATTTTGAATCGATTTAGACTGTTTATAATTATGGTTGAGGTATCTTTCCCACGATATTTATTCTTTTCTGAGGTATGGCTTTTGACTCTTGAGTTTACAAAATAAGAAGTCTTCATATCGCAAATACGGAACTTTTTATTCACTGATATTTTTAGAGTAGCTTCTGGAATAAGTTTATGCATTATGTACGTAATGTTACATATCTGTATAATTCCGTTAAATCGGTGTCATTTATTGCCATTTTTATACAAATATTTATGGAGCATTTATTTCTCTTTTTGCACATATTTGAAGTATCGAACAACAAGGTACATACGTAGATACAACCGATAGCTATCGTGACGTTATCACATGACATGAATCATGTGAAATTATGTGAAATTATGTGAAATTATTTTCGATTCTGTCGTTTGAGACAAAACTAAAAATTGAATAGTTATGGTAGAATTATAAGTGTAAGTATTTCTAGTAACTGATATTAGATTCTAGAATTTTACATATATTACTACAAGAATAAGATAGATGACAATATAGAATCACGATAAATCAAATGCATGCATGTGCAATTATCGGGATCGACTATTTTAGGTTCATACAGTTTCCTGGCTTGAGTTCATATCGTATATATAACCTTAATTCTTCGAACTATGCTTTACTTAAGAATTCCGTGTTGGCATTAGAGTTTATTAGATATTACAGCATTAAAATAGATTAGAAAGAGATTAATATGGAAAGTACAATACATTAAATAAACAATGGCTTTTTGGAGATTTATAAAATGAAATAGAAACTTGAGTGGTTTCTTGCTATAAATTATAATAGGATTATATGGTTTCTCTATTATAAATTAAAATTTTGGTTCAGTTGAACCGAATAATTTATTTAGAAATTTATTCACTTTTTAGGATCTAATCAGATTATAGCCAATCCTCACCTGCTAGTTCTTTACTATTTTTAAAATGATAATTTATAAAGCAATAAATTTATTATACGTTTGAATAAAATTTTGCTATTCACCTATTTAAATCATTTGCACATTAAATTTCAGTTTATATGTTGCACTTTTGTCTTGACAATGATAATGTCGTGTTTGAAGTTGAAGTTGCATGGAATGAAATTAGCCCCTTAAAATTAGATATTCTTGCATGCATTTGTTATTAATTTTAGGCAGGTTTAACTTCAGGTGCCTGAAGTTACAACCTAAAACAAATGATAACTGGTAATAGCAATAAATTGCACATAGGTGATAGTAGCAATAGATCTAGCAATAGCAATGTTTTTAATACATTCTTCTGATAACTAGTTTTACAGACAAAGTATTTCCAAATCCAATAATCTCTAAAAGTCTATTTCATAGATAATTGTACATTATGGGGCAGACGACAAAAAATAACAGAAATATTTTTTGTCGGAATCAAGTCACTCCATGTGCTGCTACGCAGAACATGAGTGTAACTAACTCCAATGAAAAAAAAATTTACTGCTATTTGTCGTACGTATGTTAAATAATGATGTTATCCGATAGTTAATATGACCATGTGAAGTTTTGTCTGTGATATTTTGCAAAACTGATTACGTAATTTCATGCAAAAAATATCATGCCAAAAAAATTCACATGATCATATGAAATGCCGGATAACTACAATTAGTTGATAAAAAATTTTAAACCGTTGATTCTGACAGTTTATTTTATCATTATAGCTTCATTAATATTACTAAATTTCAATATTAGTTCCTTAGTACTAGCACTTAACATGTAAAGGTAATTATTCTGTCAGTAAAATGTGAAGAAAAAAGTGCATACTATGTTGATATTAAATTTAGACAGCTAAATATCACATCCAATTGAAAATTACTTTTCATGTAATATCCACCTTGTCTTGAATTCTTTTGTTTTTTTTCATACATAGAATAATAACAATTATTGATTGTGTTAGCACGAATGGCTTTAAAAATGCACATTAAATAGTATTTATTCCCCGTTCTTATTAATACTTTTATACAGTTTATTCACGGATTACATATTTGGATTTCTTTTTGCTATATAAGCCTCCTAGTTAGAGTAATCAAATTCTTGAATAAAATTTCAGGTCGGATACGCATCGATTAATATTTGCCCGAATCCGACCCGACGCTTTAGGATCGAGTCGGGTTACAGCTTTACTCAACCCGTTCGGAACTAATCAACTGTGCAAATATTGTGATAAATTAGATAAATTACAATATATTGTCTAGTCTTTTATGAGTTTCACTAAATGAAATAAAGTTAAAAATAGATTTCTTTAAACAATGGAATACATGATCTGAAAAACAGTACAACCGATTATTCTAATATATTAAACACTACATCCTGTAATATAATGAGTTCTATTTTTAGATCTGATTTTACTTGGCAGCATCTCTTTGCATTTCTGCATAATCTTCATTTATTGCGATTTATGAATGTTGCAGTTCATAAATAAATCATCAAGAAATCACTCAACTATTAGATGATTTCTGATTCTTAAAATTATTCTGATGTGATAAGTTCTCAACTAGATATTGTATACTTTTAAGGAATCAGAAATCATCTAACAATCGTATGATTTCTGATTTTTTTTTTTTAATATTTGGAGTATTAACCATTTTGATAATTGATCAAATTCCAGACTGACATTTTCCCAGACCAGTCCTCATATACATTGATTGATTGAAATATTTACTAATCTTTATATAGTATGATATTAAACGTTAATAACTTCGTACAAAATTAAGTAAATAAATCAGTAATAATCTTAGAAATAAATAACATACGTATATCTACAGATTAGTATTATAATAGGGTAAAGGTTATACTAAATGCGTGGAACCTTTTTGTAAAGTAGTTTAAGCAAAATTTCATTTATTCTTTTTTTTTGTTTCACGCAATTTCACATTACACATTACACAAATTTTGTATATTGATTGGTAGCGAAACAGGTAAAAACAACAAGTTTTTTGCTTAGCCTTGGCAGAACTCGTGTAACGATACTTCTATGGAGAATTTAATATCTACTAAAGGCGTTAGAATTTCAACTAATTTCGACTAGTACGTACTTATAATAATTTCATCATTAATGCATGGTTCTTTTATTTTACTAATAATTTCTTTATTAGGAGCTTAGTCATACTCCCCCTATTTCGGTCCTAAAATCTAAATATTTACATTTAATTGCATCTATCATTTATACATTTCGATTACTTTTTCCCTTTTTAAAATAATTTTAACTCTCAAACCAATTTGTCACCTCAATTTCGTCATACTGAAACCTTATTGTCTGCTTTTGATCTATTCCAGATTTGTTGTACGCATGCGCCATTCGTTTAATTTTGGGACGATGCATGCATCTAGTCGAAATTATCATTAATCGTAACACCCAATCAAAAAAAAAACTCTTAGCCCCTGTAATTTTGACCAATCAAAATTTAGCATATAGCATAGTGTGATAGTCAAAAAAATTGGTGTAAAATTATATAATATCAGATGTCACGAAGATCATTTGTATAAAATTTTTAATACCAAATTTTATAAGTAAAATTTGAGCAAAATTTTGCTTTCTAACAATAAAGAAGTTTGTTGGTTTAATTTCTAAGTATCATTTTGCAGATTCACTAGCATTTGAAGGGTCTTGTTATGAAATTTCAAGGGTGGTTAAAAATAAATACAAAAAGAATCTTGACCATGAAGTTAGCCAATTTTTTAAAATTTTTGCTATTTGTTTATAAGTAATTATGATGTTTACTGTTATTCTCAAATATTCACAATAAGAGACCGTCTAAAGCCAGGTAGTAGTCACGTGCCAATAAGCCACAGTGGTAATGGCTTATAGTAGCTGCAGCCAATAAAATTAGTAAAACACTAAGTGGTCTGTGTGGCTAATGTGACTTATCCGGCAACTCATATGATCATGGTGCAGCAATGTACTGTTATTTTTTTGCGTATTACAACATAATGACAAATAACAACTTGAATTTTGACCAAAATTTTTTATTTCAAATTCGGGTCAGAATTTTTTTAAAATTTCAAATATTAGGCTGAAAAACATATTTTTGAGCCAAAGTTTTTTTAAATTATAATTATATAAAGTTTTTAATAAAATTCAACAATAAATCAAATGCTTTACATTATCAAATACTCAATTTTGTATTAATTTATGCAATTCAATGTTAATTAAAAATTAAATGTGCAATTATTAAAAATATTACTAGTAAGAAACTTTTCAACAAATTCATTATATTTCAATTCTTTATGATCTTTTTTAACTTGACTATCTTTTATTTTTTCTTCAAGAACATTTTGATTAATCTTATCTAACACATTTAAATGAAAAACTTCAAGCTTACTAAGAGTATTTGCAGTGTTATTTGTAAATCAGTTCATTAGATATATAAACTTGTCAAAAAAAATTACTGCTCACTGAAATAACTTTATAATAGTTATTTTGTGTTTCATTATTACTTAGAGTTTCATTGTTGTTTAGAATTTTATTATCACTTGAGACTTTATTGTCACTTGGAATTTTATTGTTACTTGGGATTTTATTGTCATTTGGAATTTCAGAATCATTAGTAATATTATTTTTATCAGGTATTTTATATTTAAAAAAATTTGTATTAGTTGAATACTCAAAATTATATAAACTAATTGTAATAAACTAATTACAATTTATATATTTATCTTTTGGTATATTTCTTAAAATTTGTATCAAGTTATTAAAAAATTCTTTAAGATCTTTTTATTGAATTACAGATTTTAGTCTTTTATATGCAGTTAAGTTCTTCTAAAACTTGTATTTTTGATTAATATAACTACAGTATCTGAGTATCTCAACTCTTTTAGTAACTGCACTACAGTTTTTCTTTCCATATA